ATGTGATCATTAATCGAAAAACGGGATTTCCTTCAAGAGAACAACATTATACATTGGTTATGGTTTTGTGTGTGTGTGGGTCGGGTGGGTGGGTGATTGTGTGTAGGTGTGTGCACGCGCGTGTGTGTGCTTGAATGTATGTAGGCATATATGTATTATATACACGTATACATACATATACAGACAGACAGATATAGATGTAGATATAGATAAATGTATACATGTGTCTGACGATATAGATGTAGATACAGATAACATGAACGCTGACAGATATAGATGTAGATACAGATAGATGTATACATGAACGTCTGACAGATATAGATGTAGATACAGATAGATGTATACATGAACGTCTGACAGATATAGATGTAGATACAGATAAATGTATACATGAACGTCTGACAGATATAGATGTAGATACAGATAAATGTATACATGAACGTCTTACAGATATAGATGTAGATACAGATAAATGTATACATGAACGTCTGACGGATATAGATGTAGATACAGTATTACAGATACAGATAAATGAACGTCTGACAGATATAGATGTAGATACAGATAATGTATACATGAACGTCTGACCAGATACAGAGTATACATGAACGTCTGACAGATATAGATGTAGATACATGTATACATGAACGTCTGAAATAGATATACCCGTCTGATATAGATGTAGATACAGATAAATGTATACATGAACGTCTGACGGATATAGATGTAGATACAGATAGATGTATACATGAACGTCTGACGGATATAGATGTAGATACAGATAAATGTACACATGAACGTCTGACGGATATAGATGTAGATACAGATAGATGTAACATGAACGTCTGACAGATATAGATGTAGATTACATGGACAGATATAGATGTAGATACATGATCTGACAGATATAGATGTAGATACAGATGAACGTCTGAATATAGATGTAGATACAGATAATGTATGAACACGGATATAGATGTAGATACAGATAAATGTATACATGAACGTCTGATATAGATGTAGATACAGATAAATGTTACATGAACGTCTGACGGATATAGATGTAGATACAGATAGATGTATACATGAACGTCTGACGGATATAGATGTAGATACAGATAAATGTAACATGAACGTCTGACAGATATAGATGTAGATACAGATAATGTAGAACGTCTGACAGATATAGATGTACAGAACGTCTGACAGATATAGATGTAGATACAGATAAATGTATACATGAACGTCTGACAGATATAGATGTAGACAGATACGAACGTCTGACGATATAGAGATACAGATAATGTATACATGAACGTCTGACGGATATAGATGTAGATACAGATAAATGTATACAGATATGTAACATGAACGTCTGACAGTATACTGAACGTCTGATATAGATGTAGATACAGATAAATGTATACTGAAACGTCTGACAGTATAGATGTAGATACAGATAAATGTATACATGAACGTCTGACGGATATAGATGTAGATACAGATAGATGTATACATGAACGTCTGACAGATATAGATGTAGATACAGATAAATGTATACATGAACGTCTGACAGATATAGATGTAGATACAGATAAATGTATACATGAACGTCTGACAGATATAGATGTAGATACAGATAGATGTATACATAAACGTCTGACAGATATAGATGTAGATACAGATAATGTATACTGAACGTCTGACAGATATAGATGTAGATACAGATAGATGTATACATGAACGTCTGACAGATATAGATGTAGATACAGATAAATGTATACATGAACGTCTGACAGATATAGATGTAGATACAGATAGATGTATACATGAACGTCTGACAGATATAGATGTAGATACAGATAAATGTATACATGAACGTCTGATATAGATGTAGATACAGATAGATGTATACATGAACGTCTGACAGATATAGATGTACAGATAAATGTATACATGAACGTCTGACAGATATAGATGTAGATACAGATAGATGTATACATGAACGTCTGACGGATATAGATGTAGATACAGATAGATGTATACATGAACGTCTGACGGATATAGATGTAGATACAGATAAATGTATACATGAACGTCTGATATAGATGTAGATACGATCATGACGTCTGACGGATATATATGTAGATATAGATAAATGTATACATGAACGTCTGACGGATAATATGTAGATACAGATAAATGTACACATGATCTGACAGATATAGATGTAGATACAGATAGATACATGAACGTCTGACGGATATAGATGTAGATACAGATAGATGTATACATGAACGTCTGACGGATATAGATGTAGATACATGAACGTCTGACAGATATAGATGTAGATACAGATAAATGTATACATGAACGTCTGACGGATATAGATGTAGATACAGATAAATATACATGAACGTCTGACAGATATAGATGTAGATACAGATAAATGTATACATGAACGTCTGACGGATATAGATGTAGATACAGATAGATGTATACATGAACGTCTGACAGATATAGATGTAGATACAGATAGATGTATACATGAACGTCTGTACGCGTGTATCGCCCAATCGTGGCGGAGACCCAGAGGGCGACCCGTCCGCTGCTTACGGCCAACGAGGGACTTCACTCGACCAAAAGGAGGGAAAAAACGAAAAGAAAAAAAAACGACTGAACCATAGTCAAGTGTCCAATTACTTTCCTTAATAAAAAAAGAGTTGAATAGCCCGGTTTTATGGGGGTTTTATGCGAACGATATATATATTTTCCCCCCATTTTTTATTCCTTTTTTTGAATATGGTAGCTTTCAGACGAATGCACACGCGCACATTGGCGACGAATGGATACGCACTTAGACGACTCGCTGTCAAAAGGTGTGTCTGTCTGTATACGTTGGAACTTTTCACACTGTGAAAACATATTAGTGTTTACTCGTAGACTTTCTATACATGGATGTGTACAGTGTATACAAGCAGGCGTACGCGCCCCGCACACACACACACACACACACACAACACACACACACACAACACACACACACACACACACACACACACACACACACACACACACACACACACACACACATAATATATATATATATATATTATATATATATATATAATATATGTGTGGTGTGTGTGTGTGTGTGTGTGTATGTATATATATATATTATATATATATATATATATATATATATATATATAATATATATATATATATATATATATATATATATATATATATATATATATATATATATATTATATCATGTATCCTGTCCTGTATGTGTCTTGCTAGCTAACTAGATAGGTAGACTTATTAGGTAACTGTGAATAGATAAATATATAGATAGATGGATAGAGATGCAGAAGCAGCAACCATCACCTGACAGAGACAACCAGCTAACTACCCTAAGGACCTGCTTAACGAGGCTGTTGAGGCGTCGCTCGTTCCCTCTTTGTCTTTGTCGCTCCGTTGGCTCGAGTGGTTTCCGGGGTCCTCTCGCTGGTCGTTATACCTGGGTGGTCGTGGTTTGGGTTGCGTTGGTCTTTTTTCTGTGTGTGTGTGTGGGGGGGGAGGAGGGTTTGTATGTGTGTGTGGGTTGGGGGGGTTGTGTGTGGGGGGTGGGGTGGGGGGGTGTTGTGTGTGTGTGTGGGGTGGGGTGGGGGGTTCTGTGTGTGTCTGTGTGTCTGTGTGTGTGAAATCATAAATTGAGAAGTGATAAATAACCAAAAATATTGAAAGCTTTACTGGAAATCACTCATTAAAAATGTAGCATATGTTCAGGTATAAACTTTAATCTTTTTATATCACTTTTTTCAGGTCATATTTCTTTCGGCAATATATTCATGAACTGATTTTTTGTTATTTAATCCGAAAACGGTGACAAATACGTGGATATTTGACAAAAAACATCAAGACTACTTTTATTATCTGCGAAATATATCTTTTTTGACAAGCAAAAACATTACCTCACGATTTTTTTTCCCGAAACGAAAGCAAAATACCTTTTTTTTATTTATCTATCCGAAAATTGCGTCGAAATTGGGTTTATTTTGTAGATTTTTTATCAGAGAATGGAAAGAGATCCTGATTAAAGGGATGATTTTAATTGCACTTGATCCCTGAGTGGTGGTCAGATGCAGCCATTTAGCAGAAAGTGCATTAGGTTGCTTTGTTTGTTGGAGGTGGACACGGAATGGATAGAGATGGATGTGTAGATAGATGTAGAGATACATATATATATATATATATATATATATATATATATATATATATATATATATATATGTATATATATATATATGTATATATATATATATATGTAATATGTACATATATGTATATAATATATACATATATTATATATATATATATATATATATATATATGTATATATATATATATATATATATATATATATATATATATATATATATATATGCATGTGTACACACATACGCACGCATGTACACACACACACACACCACACACACACACCACACACACACACACACACACACACACACACACACACACACACACACACACACACACACACACACACACACACACACAACACACACACACACACACACACACACACACACACACACACACACACACACACACACACACACACACACACACACACACACACACTTGTGTATTTATTTAATCGTATACATTCGCTTAGGCAACGACTCACGCCCACGACCCCGTTTCAGGTACTGGGCGGGGGGTCAGTTCTACTCGTCGAACGCCTCTCGCTCGGCCTGGCGCGGCGTCTCCGCAGGGCCAAGGACCCTGTGCTCCTGGGGCGCGCCTGGGGCCCCGGCGGCAGGCCGCGACCCCGGGGGAGGGCGGCGCCGGCAACACCGGGGAGAACAACCAAGGGTAAGTTGTGTTGCGGCCGCTGTGTCAAGAGTGTGCCAGGCCCGACCCGATCAATCCTCATAAATACAGATGCAGAAATAAAGGCGTATCTGTCTATGGATCTGATAGATATACATTTAACCATCTCTTTGCCGGGTTGGTCTGCATGTCTAGCCTGATAGATATGCATTTAATTCTTTTTTTATGCACGCCAAGTATAGGAATATTCTTTGGGTCGGACCAAGCACAATTCTAACAAACCGACTGCTGGAGTGTGCTTTTACGCTCCGTTTTATTATTGATACTATTATCATTTTTATTCATCTCAATCGGAAGGAAATTAGGGTCGATATATGATTACTAATATTATTATAATCATTAATAAGTGTCTCTTTACGATCCGTTTAATTATGTATGCATTTATTCATTCATTTATCATTTTTTCCAAAATCCCAAATCGATATTTTGAAAGTGAGAAAGGGAACTAATTTAATAATAATAATAATAAATAATATTAGCCTAATATTTGCAAGGGCGTCAGTGTCACTATTAATAAGATGGTGTTTTGACACGAATTAACTCGCATGGCTGAGCACTTGACACTACAGCGCCTGTCCATTAAGCTTTCAGTCAAGAGTCTCCATGAAAAAGTCACTTCAGTTGAGCAGGAGCAAAACAGGTGAATGTCGAAATGCGTCTTTAGAGTTGAGGTGAATTTTAATGTGTGAAGGCAGGTCGAGACGTTAAATTGGGTGTAAGTTTTGTTTAATTTACTTCTGATCATTTTATTTTATTTTATTTTTCTGTATAAGGGTAGCAAAGTCACGTGATTACTGGAATCCAGTTTTGTGTCTTGAGAAAGTTTCGATATTTGCATATGATTTTCGAGTATGTTCCTGTGGATGACGTCTAATATACCGAAAAAAACTGTTCTATGGAAGCGATTTCTGTATTCAGTTATTCATTCGTATTCTATGTTATCGTTTCTAATTCATCCATGATTTTGAGTGTGTATTGGTGCCTAATTTACTCTAAAAAAAATAATAAAATGAATAAATAAACAAATAGATGAATCAGAAAAACATTGCCCTGTAGAAACTCTCTCTCACGAAGCATTCCATTCTTAATCAACATATTCGTCATTAATTCATCCACTTGCGTTCCAGCGGCGAGGAGACCCAGGCGCAGGTCACGGGCGTCCTCCTGCGTCCCTTCCTCCCGCGGGGTCTGGAGGGCCGCCTCGGGTTCCGGCGCCAGCACGCGGCGTCCCACCACAGCCGCCGGCCGCTCTCTGACCCGGGGGTGGCCCTGCAGCTGCCCCGCTACCCGCCGCCCTTCACCGAGGCTTACCTGCCTCCCATGGCTTACCAGGAAGCCTTCCCGCGCTACATGTGGGGCCCTCCTCCGCCCTACTCCCAGCCCACCTCCTCTGAAAACCTAACCATGCAGATGTCCCCCCACCACCACCCCAACTCGCCCACGTCCCCGACAGCGCTTCAGGGCCTGGTGGCGCAGGCCATGAGGTCCTCGCCCGCCCACCGGCCTCCCACCCTGGCCGACCTGATGCACGGGCCGGCCAGCCCCACCAGCAACACCCTCTCCTCCCCCAGCGACGACTCCGAGGTCCTCAGCTCCCCGGCGCAGAACCAGCGCCCGGGACGCAGCCGGCACAAGGGCGGCGCGGCAGATCAGGGGGGCACCCTGGGCGGCTCCAGCTCTCTCCCTTCTCGCCATCGCACGAGAAGGCTGCCCTTGGGACACGTCAAGTCACTCGGAGATGTGAATGAACACAAACACGATGAGCCTCTCGAAGTTCTGTTCTGTGATGGCAAAGACATTACACCCCTTGATAAGTTCCACACTCAGGCGGACGTTCAGCGCGAGGGTTACCGTAGCAAGCACATTAAGAGCATTAGTGATCCTAAAGTGGTTTACACGAGTGGGAAAATGGAACAAGAATCTGAATTGTATTTTGCTGATGTGTCTTCTTGTGTTTCAGTAAGACAAGATGGTGATGAAACTTTGTATTACTCAGAACCAACAAGTTCAGCAAGTCAGAACACACCTTCTCCAAGTGATAAAGATATATTGGACGCCTCTGTAAATCACACATACGAGCAGGTCCGTGAAAAAGATGATGATAGTTCTCATCACGCCTCTGACGATACTATGATTGTCCACACATCTTCGTCAGACCACAGCCTTGCTGCAGAAACCGAGAATACCTACAGTGTTGTTTCTCCCCTCACAGACATGTCCAGCACCTCACCCATGATTACTGACACAGATGCCTATTCATGTTACACCCCCACTACATCAGGTCCCTCTCCATCAACACCAAGCCAGAGAGAGATAACACCCACAACCCCTCAGTCAACTTTTAACCATAATTTAACCCTCCATCCACTCAGGCAACTACACCCTCTACACCCTCTTCACCCAGTCCACCACATCCACCATATACACCCAGGAGGAAGGACTCATGTTAATGACAATGATCTGCCACAGTCAGCGGAGCCTGATGGAGATCAGGAAGTGGAGCACTGTTACGAAACGCTTCCCGGGTGCGAGGCAGATTCCGCTAGTGCGCCAGTGACCTCCGCGTCCATGGAGACGCAGCAGGAAGCCTCGCCTCTGCAGGACGCTTCAGACCTTAATGGCAACGTTACCCTCACGGAAGCTATTGTTCACATGGGGCCTTCTCTTACTGATAGCGCGATTCCTAGCTTACCGAGTGCTTCGAGACCTTCTAGGGCAAACTTGTCACTGCCTCTTCGACGTGTCCTCTCCTCCTCAAACGCCCACACGGAAGAAGCCACAGAAGACACTCCTACGCCTGATGCTGAGATGCTTTCCCTGGAGCAAGGGCGCAGTGCAGGAGGTCGGCGCTCCGGAGGGGGTGAGAGGATGTCATATCATAGCTCAGAGCCAAACACACCAGCGGAGCGGAGAATACACTCTGTCCAAGATCTTTTGTTTACTCTAAAATCTGTGAACGTATAAAGGTTAGAGTAAGCTCAGTAGTATTTATTAAGTTACACATTGCAATGTTCATGTAAATATTTTTTTCGAGAAAAGTTCCATTATATTAAGTGTTGGAAACTATGATGGATACTGGATTGCAACTGTAGTAGAGAGCAACATTAGTTCAAAAGATTAACATTTTCCAGATCTAAGCAGGCAAGGCTATATGGATTCAAAGTATAATTGAATATCTATGCAATTCATGTGTTCCACTTCTTGACTGTATGTGCAACATTTGGAACACCTGAGTGTGGGAAATAAAATTCCAGATTCTTAGATTTCTTAGGTTCACCTGAAACGACATTTAGAATATATTTTCCATACACATACACATACATGCAACTTAAAGTCAGAAGCACAGTATAATTATGGGCGAATGTGCAAAAAAATGTTATACCATTTTATAATAACATTTTATGATAATTTAAAGCTTTCACATTTAGTAAAATGTGGTACGCTCTACGTTTTATTTGTACTTCCTTGAATTGTGCAAGCAGACATTAAATGTAGCTTTTCACAGTCTCAAAAGACAGTCGTTAATGATGTAGATAAACAGAAACGATAGCAATGCTGCTTCCATCTTTTTCAGACAGTTAAATCTAGAGTAGCTCAGGAACTTCACAAGATGTTATTACTGTTTTGATGGCATTCATTACCACTAAAGGAGATTGTATTTGTTGTATTTTTGGTATGAATGAGCAAGGGGATTGGCTGTTGAATAGATTGTGATACTCGTCAAGAAAAATACAGTCGGCTTACTGTAGTGCTGTACAACAAAACTTCAAATAATGCAGATGCTTTGCAACACCAGGCACAGGCAGGAAAGTGTACGCCAAAGTTTTATTTAAATATTTGGTTTTAACAGAGTACTTTTTCCAAATTACCATAGGTACCATATGCAATGATGAGAACAGGTTTTTATTAGAAATAGAGCAAATCTGTTGTAGGTGGGGGGGGGGGGATAGGAAGCACATATTAGAAAAGAAAACTGAAGAATTGAGTTCTAAGAGCACCTTCACGTATTGTTAGTGAACTGTCTTATGATGTGCAATATATTACTTTAAAATAGAGAAATTAGGAATTTCTATATATCATTAAAAACGGTAGTAAAAGTGCTGTAATTAGACACTGAGATGGAGCTAGTCAGATATTGGTAATAATGAGAGGTACTGCCACAAATGTAGGGAAAATGTTGTTTTTTCTTTATCTGAAAAAATAAATACACAAACCTTCAAAAAATACAGTGCTTTAAATTAGATTGAATATTGATGCATATTCTAATATCACCCGAGGCATTAGTTGGATAAAGTCATATGTAAAAATATAGAATAGGTAATATGTAATAGTGTAACATTCCAATACCTGGCATTATATAGTAACAATCAGCATCCTAATATTTTTTTGTGTGTCATAAATTTAATAAATGTGCCAGAAACTTGTATGTCACTTGCACTGTGTTTATGAAGCCAGGGAATCAGAAATCTAAACTTCCATACGAACCATGTAGATCACAAATAGAGGCACGTGTAGGAAAATTGCCTTTATATAACCTCCTTTCCCCCAAAAATGATTCTGAGAAGGTGCGATCACATAGTAATTCATATTTGGTAAAATGGGTTTTGATTTTGCTTGTGGGAGTTATGTGGGTTCTTTGAAATGTTTCAGTTGCAAAAAAAAGGGGGTAGAAAATCAGGAAAAGAATTTTATACTGCTGATAGTGGAAGAAAAGTCTTTGCTAATGAAATACACAGTAGGGTAAAGGAATAGATGCTGCCTGTCTGTATATTTGACAGCATTGCTTTATGCACAATGCTATCTTGTTATTCTATGTTTACTTGTATTATCAAGTTTTATTTCCCATGAAGTTATCTTTGTGACAAAGATCATTGTTGTTTTACTTATATTAGTTTTATTATTGTTGTTATTTTATAATAATGATAATGACAGATATTATTATTATTATTATTATTGTTATTATTCTTTTCTTTATTATCATTTTTGTTATTATTGTTAGTTATCATCATCATTATTGTTATTATTATTACCATTATCATTATTATTATTATATTTATCATTGTTTTATTACATTTAT